GTGCTGGTTTTCGAGTGCTTTGGGCCCTCCCGTGGGAAGAGGATGAAGTAGGCGATGTCCCAGGGTGTCACCAGGGATGGGGGACAGCGTCCTCTCCCTTGGCAGCAGCAGGAGAGCGCGATGCAGAGCCCGAAGCCCAGCTCTGGTCCAGCGAGGCGAGGGCGCCCGCGCGTAGCTCTGCAGCCACTTCACAGCACGGCCGGTTCCAGCTCAGCATTCACGGCACAAGCATTTTCATTTCCCTTCTCGTGCTGCTTGGAAATCCCCCGTGCAAGCTCCATCTGACTGGCGCGTTGGCCTGCTGATGGCGTGGTGGCCGGCCGTCGACTGGCCTCTCTTGTATTTCTGTTTACCCTTCACCTGAAGTAATTTCCTAGTGTGATGGAAGCATGCCGTGCACTTCCACAGGAAAGATAAAATAGATGAAAATGTAACCAGGTTACAGCCAGAAAGTATCCCGAGACTGTTTGCTAGCAGCTTATTCCCATGGTTCCTGTTGGAGTTACTCCTTCAGCTCCTTGCTGGAGTCTCGGCAGATTCTAAGCAACTGAGCATCGCCGTCGTGGGGATTAGGAAGCGGTGGAAGCTCCGTGCAATAGAGCAATACTCGTGTTTGTCGGTTTATAATTAATTTCTATTAGTCTTTTTGTTGTGTATTCATGGCCACGAGCAAGTGCTGCGAGTTATTGTGGCGAAGGAGGTTTAATTTTGCTAATCCTGTTTTATTCCCATTTTAGTGTAGCTTTTTGAATGCCACAATGCGGTGCCTGTAATGAAATTAAAATGCATTTTTGAACGGCATTGTCTTGCAGAAGCTATTGGAAGCTCATCTGAATGTGCTTTAATACTAGATGCTGAAAAGAAAGACAATCATCCATCTGAAATGCCGTTCACATGGACTCTTTCATGCTGGCTGGAAATAACACCCTGCATACCAAGCAGGGAGGAAGCACAAGCCTCTTCCTCACAATACACTCAAACCCCTAACGTGATTACAATCTTTTTATCTTGGCTAAAAAGCATTTTCTTTCATCCTTCTCAATAAGAGTCTTTCTTTTTACCGTTTGGGCCGACACCTAATGCAAGGCAGACATATGCAGCGATTTTCACCAAATTATGATTTATTTGTACTCTTTACACCCAGAAAAGTGCGAATGAAATGATGACTGCGTTGAACAAGGCACTTTATAAATGCAACCATGACTCCATCCTTGTCCGGGAGCTTACAGTGGGACAGGCAAGGCAAATAAGGAGCGAGAGGCGGGGACGGTCACAGAGGTAAGGTGCCCTGACCCAGGCACGAGCAGCTCTGGGAGGGGGATTCGGGTCTGCTGAGCCCCAGGAAATTTGGTGCCTTTTTGTTTGATTTTGCTGCTGAGGGGAGTCCAGGCTTGTCAGGTCCGGCTGTCACTGTGCGGCCCTGGGTGGAGGAACACACATTCAACTGGAAGACGGAGGGAAGAGGTTGGTTTTCGGGCAAGTCGGGTCCTTGAGCTTGGCTCACAGGAACTGGTGCTGCTGCAGAGGAGGATGCTTGGTGGTTTTTGCTTTTCCTTTTGTCATTCCTGGGGAAGAGGGACCCTCAAAAACTCTATTTCTTGGGCAGGAAGGCTCAGCTAGGTAGGAGGCTGGCTCTGTGTGTATGAGAAGCAGAATGCAGGGTTGGAGTAAGATGGACCCATGATTTCCTAGCTCCGTTGCAGAACATCCTCAACTTACAGATCATCTGAAATGGCCAACACAAAGAGCCATGCGCCCGCGCTTGACTGATGGATAGGATGTGGCTTTTTGCAGCCATTCGGTATTGCTGCAGGGATCTCCCAGCGGCCCCCCGTGCAAAGAGCACCATTCGGCACCATGGGCACATTTGTTGAGAGCGTAGTCCAATGTCAGGCATCGTGCTGTTGGTTGGGTGGCCAGGCACCTAAAACGGAGCCTGGATATTGGCTTTTCTCCTGGGAACACGAGGATGGCTGGATGGGCTCAGATCAAAGGTCCTCGCAGCCTAAAAGCCTGTCTGGAAGGGTGTCTGGGGGAGAGGAGGAATTGGAAGGCTTTCCAAATCCAGCCATCCCAGCAGCGAGGGACATGGCGAGGCAAGCAAAGCAGCCAACCACCCTTTTTGCTTGTGTTGAACCTACAACAAAATTATTTCTTCTCATGCCTCCACT